AAACCTTTTTGATGCGAGCAGGAAAGTTTGCCAAAAATTAATTAATTATCGCATAACTGAAGGCATAACCTTCAAATATTAAAAAGCAAAATCTTAAAAAAAGCAAAATATTAAAAAGCAAAATATTAAAAAAAGCAAAATATTAAAAAAAGCAAAATATTAAAAAAAGCAAAATCTTAAAACCAATCTTTAGCACTCTGGTGGTTTGGTTTTAATGGGTGAGTAATAAGTAAATTTCTACTTTATAGTCTGCTATGGCTATCACTTAAAAGACAAAAAAAACTGGCTGAAACCATTGGCATAAAAAACAAGGAAAAGATTTAAAATAATCCAAATATTATGTCTGCAGCAAAAAGTCTCTATCATTTCTGTTGAAACTTGACTAATGCATGGAATAATAATGCAACACAAAATGTACTTAGAACAAAATGTATTGAAACAAGAAAGTGTATACAATATTTACATATAGTCTTTTGTATATTCCTGGTAAGACCGTTCCTGGAGAATGTGTTGACTGAGTCACAGTCAGGCAAAGTCTCTTGATTCCTCCCTCTCTTCCCGGTACCAACCATATTTATATGGTCGGTACTCCACTATGCAAATTAGGTGGATCCTACCACAACAATTTCAGAAATAAATTTTAAAAACAATATTTACATATCTATATACAAAATTATTCAACCATATATTTACCATTTTCTTCCGCAACCTTCTGATGTCTGAGTTTCAGAATTCCATACTCCCAGCTTCATGATTCCATCCACCCAGCTTCATGATTCCATCCTCCTAGTTTTAATCTTTCCATCCTCCCAACTTCACCATTCCATCCTCCCAGTTTCATTGTTTCAACTTTCAAGCTTCATGATTCTATCCTCTCACTTTCCTGATTCCATCCACCCAGCTTCATGATACCATCCTCCCATCTTTATGATAGGATGCTCCCAGTTTCAGGATTCCATCCACCTAGCTTCATGATTCCGTCATCCCAGTTTCATGATTCCATCCTGCCAGCTTCCTCATTCTGTCCTCCCAACTTCATTATTCCATCCTTCAAGATTCAATTCTCCCAGTTTCATGATGCCAACCTCCCAGTTTCATGATTCCATCCTCCCAGATTCATCATTCCATCCTCTGATCTTCATGATTGCAATCCCATAGTTTCATGATACCATCCCTCCAAATTCAGGATTCCATCCTCCCAGCTTCATGATGCTGTTCTCCCAATTTAATGAGTTAATCCTCCCAGTTTCATGATTCCATTCATTTAGTTTCATGATTCCATCCTCCCAGCTCCATGATTCAATCCTACATGCTTCATGATTCCATCCTCCCCGTTTCATGATTCTATCTCTCCAGCTTCTTCATTCCATCCTCCCAGATTCAATTTTCTCTACCCTTAGCCTCATGACTCCATCCTCCATCCTCCAAGCTTCATGATTCTATCCTATGAGCTTCATGATTCCATCCTCCAAGCATCATGATTCCATCCACCCAGTTTCATGATTCCATCCTACCTGTTTCATGATTCTATCCCCCCAGCTTCTTGATTCCATCCTCCCAGATTCAAATTTCTGTACCCTTAGCCTCATGACTCCATGCTCCATCCTCCAAGCTTCAAGATTCCATCCTGCGTACTTCATGATTCCATCTTCCACATTTCATGATTCCATCATCCCAGTTTCATGATTCCATCCTGCCAGCTTCCTCATTCCATCTTCCCAATTTCATCATTTTGTCCTTCAAGATTCATGATTCCATCCACCCAGCTTCATGATACCATCATCCTTGTTTCATGATTCAGTTCTCCCAGTTTCATGATTCCATCCTCCCAGATTCATCATTCCATCCTCTTCATGATTGCAATCCCATAGTTTCATGATATCATCCCTCCAAATTCAGGATTCCATCCTCCCAGCTTCATGATGCTGTTCTCCCAATTTAATGAGTTAATCCTCCTAGTTTCATGATGCCATTCATTTAGCTTCATGATTCCATCCTCCCAGCTCCATGATTCAATCCTACATGCTTCATGGTTCCATCATCCCTGTTTCATGATTCTATCCCTCCAGCTTCTTCATTCCATCCTCCCAGATTCAATTTTCTCTACCCTTAGCCTCATGACTCCATCCTCCATCCTCCAAGCTTCATGATTCTATCCTGTGAGCTTCATGATTCCATCCTCCAAGCATTATGATTCCATACTCCAAGCATCATGATTCCATCCACCCAGTTTCATGATTCCATCCTCCCCGTTTCATGATTCTATCCCCCCAGCTTCTTGATTCCATCCTCCCAGATTCATTTTTCTGTACCCTTAGCCTCATGACTCCATCCTCCATCCTCCTAGCTTCAAGATTCTATCCTGTGAGCTTCATGATTCCATCCTCCAAGCATCATGATACCATCCACCCAGTTTCATGATTCCATCTTCCACATTTCATGATTCCATCCTCCCAGCTCCATGATTCAGTCCTCCATGCTTAATGTTTCCATCCTCCAAGTTTCATGATTCTATCCCCCCAGCTTCTTGATTCCATCCTCCCAGATTCATTTTTCTGTACCCTTAGCTACATGACTCCATCCTCCAAGCTTCGTGATTCTATCCTATGAGCAACATGATTCCATCCTCCAAGCATCATGATTCCATACTCCAAGCATCATGATTCCACCCTCCCCGTTTCATGATTCTATCCCTCCAGCTTCTTGATTCCATCCTCCCAGATACATTTTTCTGTACCCTTAGCCTCATGACTCCATTCTCCATCCTCCATGCTTCATGATAACCATCCTCCAAGCATCATGATCCAATCCACCCAGTTTCATGATTCCATCCTCCTTGTTTCATGTTTCTATCCCCCCAGATTCTTGATTCCATCCTCCCAGATTCATTTTTCTGTACCCTTAGCCTCATGATTTCATCCTACAAGCTTCATGATTCCATCCACTTGGCTTCATGATTCCATCCTCCTAATTTTATGACTCCATCCTCCCAGCTTGGCATCCTTCTGGGTGATGAATTGGAATGAGGAGTTTTTACAGGATCCCATAGATTTGAAGTTCTTACCATTAAGAGAATTTTATAGTGATTAAAATAAGTTGTAATTAGAAAGGTAGGGTAATTTCATTGGGTGTTGTAGGATGTCCCCGCCAAATTGTACCAGATATCTGCTGAGTTTGCAATGATATGGGAGGTCTGGCATTCTTTTGATGAAAGATGACAGCCTTACAATTGGCCAGTTCCAGATGTTTTTTGCTGATTGCTGCCTTTAATTGGTCCAACTGGGAACAGCACTTTTCTGAATTCAATGTTTGATTTTGAGGAAGGATCTCTTCATAAAGAATACCTTTTCACTGGCACAAAATACACTGCATCACTTTCTTCAGATGCAGACACACTTTTGGAGCTGTTAATGGTGGCTCATTTAATTTTTCCTTTGTACTTTTTTCACCCACCTTGTTGTAAACAATGTACTTTTCATTGCTTGTGTTCATTCTTTTGAAAAATGGGTTGATTTTGTTATATTTTAGCAGAGAATCATAGAGGGAAATGTTGTACATTAAATTTTTTTCATTAAATTGTGAAACATCAATGCAATTCATGTATTCAAATGTTTTCAGTTCTTTAAATCATTTCTCCCCAAGCAAGGCAATACAACGACTAAGATGCAAAGGGTTACTGAGTGTGAAAGAATAAGAGAAAAAGAAAACATTATTAATAATGTTTTCTTTTACTCATATCTTTTCAAATTTAGTAACCCCTTGCATCATAGTGGCTTTATTGTCTTGCTTGGGGGTGAAATTATTAAGAATACACACACACACGCACATATATATGGTATAAAATGACAATTGGAAATTTTTGGGGGGTTTTTTTCCAACTGATTTCATCTTCTGACATTTTCATGGCAATAATGAAATCGAAATGTCTTTATTGTTATAGTTACATTACAAAATCCGCATTTAAAAAGATAGACACTTCTGTCTAAGCCTTTTTCTGCTTAATGTAAATTTCCTTTATACTAAGAGATTTTTTTTCCATGTTGACAATACTGTTAAATTTCCAGATTAATTCTGTGGACAAGACATTTCGATTTCATTTCATACCAATTTGTCTTGTCCACAGAATTGATCTGGGAATTTTACTATATATATATATATATATATATATATATAATTTCCACTTCTGAACCTAGAAAACCACTTACAAACAATACCCTCAGCTATGGCACAATCTTCATAAATGGCACATAGATTTTGCTGTTTATCCAGTGATTTTTTTTTCCTTTCTGGAAAAATCAAATGGTAAAAAAACATTCTAATTACCTCCAATTTATCATTTAATATAAATGCATTTAAAATTCGCAATCCATATATACAGAAAAATTCAATGACATGTCACCTTTCAGAATATGTATATATGCCATAAATTTCAGTCATGTGTGAAATGAAATCATGTGTCCAAATGCCATTTATTGAAAATTTCTACAACCCTTTGTTCCAAACCATATTTTGGAATAATGGCAAAATTTCATCACAGGATGTCAGACAGCTATTTTGATCTTAATCACTATGTGATTTAATTTGAATGCTAAAGAATGAATCTGCTGAAGCTGAAATCTTAGAACCATTTTGTTCACAAACCAAAAATCCACCACCTTCAAAAAGAAAATTATTTTTCTACTTACTATTAAGCAAGGAATTTCACCTGCTGCTTTTTTGGATTTTATATTAGCATATTGGTGATCTGCTTTCCAAATATCTTTGAGCTGGCACCAAGGAGATAATTCTTTTGAATCATAATTTCTAAATGACTTCTAAAAAACAAAAACAGTCAAGATCCTGTGACATTCACCAATCTAAAAAAAGATTAATCAACTTCTATCCCTATCACGTCAAAGGTGTGGCTAATCTGAAATAAAATTGTAATAACATTAGACAACAGTTTCACAGGATGACCAGAGTTATAAAGAAGCAAGCTTCTATCCCTTTTGTCGTTATACCAAAAATATGATGGTTGGCAGAAAGACAGATAGATAAGAACAAACCAAGATAGATAGATAGATAGGAACACACTGTGATAGATAGATACATAGATAGATAGATAGATAGATCAGAACAGACTATGACAGATAGATAGGAACAGACTGTAAGAGGCAGATAGATAGATATGAACAGACTGTGACAGACAAAGAGATACATAAATAGATAGATAGATAGATAGATAGATAGATAGATAGATAGATAGATAGATGGGACAGATTGTGACAGACAGACAAATAGATATTTAGGAACACACTGTGACAGACAGACAGACAGACAGACAGATAGATAGATAGATAGATAGATAGATAGATAGATAGATAGATAGATAGATAAGAATAGACGGTGGCAAACAGAGATGGATAGATAAACAGATAGGAACAGTCTGTGATAGATAAATAGCTAGATAAGTAGATGGATAGATAGGAACAGACTGTGACAGACAAATGAATAGATAGATAGATAGATAGGAACAGACTGCAACAGACTGACAAACAGATAGATAGATAGATAGATAGGAACAGACTGCAGCAGACCGACAAACAGATAGATAGATAGATAGATAGATAGATAGGAACAGACTGCAGCAGACCGACAAATAGATAGATAGGTAGATAGATAGGAACAGACTGCAGCAGACCGACAAATAGATAGATAGATAGATAGATAGATAGATAGATAGATAGATAGATAGATAGGAACAGACTGCAGCAGACCGACAAACAGATAGATAGATAGGAACAGACTGCAACAGACCGACAAACAGATAGATAGATAGATAGATAGATAGATAGGAACAGACTGCAGCAGACCGACAAACAGATAGATAGATAGATAGATAGATAGATAGATAGATAGATAGATAGGAACAGACTCCAACAGACCGACAAACAGATAGATAGATAGATAGATATTACATTGTTCTTTTCTTATTGTGTATCCCAGAAATTTCAGCTGTCCCTTTGTGACGCTAAGCATCAAGTTCTTTCTAGTTCCTCTTCTGCTTAAATCTTCCTCATTCCTCACATGTTCTGTCCATGGTATTATCCAAGCCAAATCTCTCTCACTTTAAGTCTTGTCTTCATCTGTGAGGAGATTGTTCAGCATTCACTGCCATATAGTATGAGATTGTCACATAAATTTGTTCAGTTTTTAAAATCAATTTTAATATTTATTTATTAATAGTTCTTATGAATTATCTACTGTCTAATGCTTTGATTATAGAAAGCACTAGGTTTTAACTCAAAAAATTAATAAAGCTACGTTTCAAACTTCATATCATTGTTGAATGAAATGCCCTCAATTGTTAGAAAGCTAGTAGTCTGAAGAAGCTAGTAGGGATGAATATGGTGGATGTGGCAGAACTTCCCAACTGAACTCTTTCTTTGCATTCATCAGCAGCCTGTGTCAGGCTATTAAACTGGCAACAACAGAGGAGTACTGCAGTTTGTTTCTCTTGGCCAATGTGTTCAGCACCCATGTGCTGTGTTTCTGGAACTTAACCATTGTGTGATGAGTGGCTGTATGATGAGTACTTGCCATCTTCTGAGCCAATTCTCTTGCAGACTGGCATGGTTCTTCTTTAATTAGCACTTGCAATTGGTTCTCATCAAACTGAGAGGTTTGGCCAAAACATGAAGACTGTGAGTTTGAACTTCCACTCCTTGAAATGGGGAAACCATTTCTGTATCATTCTGTCAGTAATGAAGTCATTTCTGTACATAGCACAAATGTCTCAAGAAGGTTTATGAGCTTTGTAAACTTTATGACCTTGATTAAAAGCAAAGAGACGTCGAACATGCATATTCTTGTCTACTTGCCATTCAATCTTGAAGGAGGTGTCTAATCTTACTTATTATAAAATGCAGATTGTGTGTGTGTGTGTGTCTGTACGTTTATATATTGGATTGAATTTCCCACATTTTTCAACCGATTTCAACAAAACTTCACAGGACTACATAAAATTACCTTGCAGTGGTTCTAACAGCACCAAAAATTGGAAAAACACAATTGTTTTTGCATGAAATCAATTTGAAAACATGATTAAGAGGCATCACGAGAATGAAAGGGGGACAACTCATATCGAGTTATACTTATAAAACCCAGGTTGTTTGTGTGTGTGTGTCCGTTTATATATGGGATCGGATTTCCTAAATTTTTCAACCGATTTCAACAAAACTTCACTTTTTTTTGGCAGGTAGTGTTTCTTATTGTCTTGTCTTGCACACTTTTTTTCTTTATTTTTACATTCAGAATGCTTTAAAATTTCCATTTACAAGACAATTGTTTATAATAAAATTCTATTCAATTGGTAGACTCATAAAGATTGAAAACAATGTTTTTGTTTGAGTTTGGGTTTGACCTATTTGTAAAAAAAAAAACAAAACAAAACAAAAACTAATTAAGACATGCGTGTTTGTCAACCTTAAACAATAATCTTTGTCAATTTTATTTTTCAGTCATTATGATGGTGGATACTTGATCTATCTCTTACTGTTACATCCCCGGGCAACACTGGGCTCTATTGCTATTTCTTTGAGCCTATTCATTTGTTCAATATACAGCTTAGCATTAATCATGTGGTTGTAATGAAGTCATCTTTATACACAGTATACATAAAGTAAGTGAAAAAGATAGTAGTCTGAATGGGATGAATATGGTGGATGTGGCAGAACTTCCTAGCTGAACTATTTGTATCCATAAACAGCCTGGTATCCAGCTAGTAAACTGGTGGCAATGGAGGAGTGCTGGTGTTCGTTTATCTCAGTCTATGTGTCTGTATCTATGTGCAGTGTTTTTGGACCTTATCTATTGAGTGAAGATGCTGAGAGGCAGTAACAGGAGAACTTGCCATCTTCTGAGCGAATTCCCTAATGGTTAGGCACTCTACTTCTTTAATAATGAATGTTTAAATATAATAAATTATATATATATATATATATATATATATATATATATATATGTGTGTGTGTGTCTGTGTGTGTAAAAGGACAAAAAGAATATAAATTCAAATGTCCATAGCATTAATTTAAAAAACGGCTCAATACCAGAGTAGAGCAATAGTTTGTTTATTATAAACTGTTACATTGGATCATACAAGTTACCACGACAAAAATGCATATTTGTTTCGATGTGTAATGAGAACATTTCATCAGGTGGTTAACATTGGTGGTAATAATCAATCTTAACCACCTGATGAGATGTCTAAATTACACATCGAAACAAATATGCATTTTTGTAGTGGTAACTTCTAGTTTCCAATGTAATAGTTTATTATATATATATATATATATATATATATATATATTTTTTTTTTTAAGCATTTCACCCCAAGCAAGGCGGGAAGCCACTAGGATGCAAGGGGTTACAGAAAATATAGAGCGAGATCAGATAGGAGGGATAGAAGAGAGTATGAGGAGAAGGGTAGTGGATAGATCAAGGCAACTGGAGATGTCGATTGACATTACACTTGAATAGCTGGAGATTATAGCCCTCAGGGAAACTGGAATAGGGAAGGGATTTCCACAGGAGAGAGGTGCGAGGCATGAAGCTATTAGAGTAGGAGAGATCGCTACATTTAGGAGTTTCAACATAGAAGGGGTAAGAGTGGGATGCCAGCCTCGTAGGGTGTTGAAACTCATAAAGTCTGGGAACCAGCGAATGCAGCTCCTCGGAGCAATTTCCATGAAAGTATTTGTAAAAAAGACAGAGAGAGGCGACGGCGCGTCTGTGAGAAAGTGACTGTAGACGAGATGCCAGAGCAGGGCCAATTATATTGCATATCCACCTCTGGAGCCTATCAAGAACCCCGAGGCAAACAGAAGGGGCACCAGACCATATATGGCAGCAATACTCCATGCAAGGGCGAATTGTGAATTTGTAGATCTGGAGGATCGATTCCAGGGAGAAAAATTTCCTGGCACGGCACAGGGAGCCAACTTTATATAAAGAACAATGGACGAAGTTTATTGGTGGGGAAAAAAAATTAATTTGGTAATTAGTTGGAGGCCTAATATAAAGTCCTCCTGTTTATTACAAAGAGAAGGATTTAAAGATAGAATATAGATGGCCTCCAACAGTTTTAGGTTGTAATATATATATATATATATATATATATATGCAATTGGCAGTAACATGAGAGCTTGCCATCTTCTGAGCCAGTTCCCTAATGGTTTGGCATGCTATTTCTTTAATTGTGTGCAATTGGTTCTCATCAAACTGAACAGGTTGGCCAAAATGCAGAGTTTGTGAGTTCAACCCGCCTCCTCCTTGTAACAGGAAAACCCTTTCTGTGTCATTCTGTCAGAATGAAGTCATCTCCATACATAGCACAAATGTTTCCGAGTAGATTTGAAACAATTGTGGCCTTGATTAAAAGCAAAGAGAGGAAGATGTCGAACATGTTCATTCTTGTTTACTTGGCATTCCATCTCAAAGGAGTGTTTTAATCTGAAATAAAACAGTTTCATAGGATGACCAGAGTTATAAAGAAGCAAAAAATTCTATGAAAGTTTATTCTTCAAGATCATTCACGGAACATCAGAAAAAACGAACATGTATGAAACAACATAATAGATGAAAGCAAAAATGGAACATTGGTACTGTTGAGGATTCTGGGATGAAATCCGGTCTCAAAATGAATGACAAACACAGGAATGAAATATATCAAATAAATGTATTGACGCAATAATACAATTGGTAATACAGTTAGTAGATCCAGAAATGTGGTTAGTAGCAATAATAATACAGTGTAACCCAGATATAAGAGAGTTGTCGGGACCGGAGAAGAAGTCTCTTATATCCGGGTTTCTCTTATATCCGGGTTTCTCTTATATCCGGGTTTGGTCTATTTTATATACATTAACACAGGCTCTAATTTGGAGCCAGAGAAAATCTCTCTCATATCCGGGTTTCTCTTATATCCGGGTTTGGTCTATTTTATATACATTAACACAGGCTCTAATTTGGGACCAGAGAAAATCTCTCTTATATCCGGGCTTCTCTTATATCCGGGTTTCTCTTATATCCGGGTTTGGTCTATTTTATATACATTAACACAGGCTCTAATTTGGAGCCAGAGAAAATCTCTCTCATATCCGGGTTTCTCTTATATCCGGGTTTGGTCTATTTTATATACATTAACACAGGCTCTAATTTGGGACCAGAGAAATCTCTCTTATATCCGGGCTTCTCTTATATCCGGGTTTCTCTTATATCCGGGTTTGGTCTATTTTATATACATTAACACAGGCTCTAATTTGGAGCCAGAGAAAATCTCTCTCATATCCGGGTTTCTCTTATATCCGAGTCTCTTATATCCGGGTTACACTGTATATATATAGTCTGGGAAATTCAGTATCGAAGTATGACTTCCTTCTGAGTCTACGTGCTTGCAACTGTGACTCCTACAAAGCAGTTACCTCACTCTCTCACTGTATCACTGTAGCAGTGTATCTCCCCTGGGTATTCACCGGCAGCAGTACAAGTACACACTGGTCAAGTCCATTTGTATGAAAAAGGGGTGGACCCCATAACAGGTACCATATCTGGGCTGGAGCTGCATAATCTTCTTTTTCCAGATTTCATAGAGTTCAAAATCATTTATAAGGTCTTGTAGTTGATGACATTTTTACACTATTAAACCTTTAGATGACCAGTTCAAACCTTTATAACTCACAATGTGATGTCTACAGAATTGAATCATTCTCATTTCCCACATATTCTAATTAAAAAGGAGGAAGTTTCACTCAGCTTTTTCTTAAGATCTGTTACTTTGTGGGACATACTCCTGCATGGATGCTTCCTTAGAAACTACAATCTTAACCTCTTCAAGTCAAGGGTCAATCATTGTCTATCCTTATAATCTTTACTTCTTTTTATTTTTCTTAAGTTCATATCAAACACTTCATTCAATAATTATCTATCTTGAGTAGCTCTTGAGGCTTGTCCTGAGTGAACTTTAGTAAAAAAAAAAAAAA